CTTGGGGCTGCGGGCGGGCGCGCGCCCCCGGGGCCTGGACACGAGAGCAGCGCGCGCGCCCCCGTGGGCCCCGGCGGGAGGAGAGTCGGGCGGCCGGAGCCGTCACCCCGGGCGGGGACCGAGCGCAGGCAACGACGCGCGGAGGTCCTGCGGAGGGAGGGAGGGAGCGAGCGCGCGGGCGAGCGAGCGAGCAGGAGAGTGAGAGAGCGCGCGGAGCGGGAGCAGCGGCTGGCGCCTGTGGGGCCGAGCGAGGTAGGAGCTGCGAGCCGAGCCGGGGGCCGGGGGAGAAAGGTCGGGGAGCCGGGGCGGGGCCCAGAGCTCAGGCCTCCGAGAAGCCGGGCAGGGCCGCGTCGCCGCCATCGCTCAGGGGCCGGGGGACCCCGGGCGGCTGCAGAGGGGACCCCGGGGCGCGGGCGGGGGGTGCGCGGAGGCCGCGGCCGAGGACGCCGTGGATGCCGTGCAAAGTGTTTGCGCGCTGTGTCGCGGTGGGTGTGTGAGGGAGCCCCTCGGCAGGTCCACCCGGAGCCCAGGGTCTGCTGTCAGCCACCTGGCACCTTCCTGTTGCAATTCTCACGAGTCCCTGCTGTCTTCCAGTTTTTCCTTTTAATATTATTATCCTCCCCCTCCAAAAAAGGCTTCTGAGAGTCTGGGGAAAGAGATGAGCCCCGAGGTGCTCGGTGGGGTGGGGGGTATCAGCAGAGCTTCAAGAAATAGAGTCGAGACAACAAATACGAACATTTTGATAAGGCTCTGGGCTGTGGGATCCCACGTCAGGACCTGCCAGGCCTGGGCTTGTACGTGTGCTGGTGGGATGCGGGCTGGTTTTGTTTTTTTTTTTTTTTTTACTAGCCGGGGGTAGAGCGTGGAAAAAAAAAAAAAGTGCTCCTGGTGTCGGGGGCAGATACGGAGAGTCGGAAGGAGACTTGTCTTATCCCCAAAGCTGGTCTGAGGCTAAAGGAATCTGGCAAGATGGTCAGAGTGATCAAAGAACTTGTATGGAGCCAGAGGCGTTTGCGAACACTTGTAGCCGGCAGTGATGTGAAAAGGCGAAGAAGGAAAACAAGTGCCAGCGCTTGGGAAGCTGGGATTAATGAAAGCCACAAGAATTCTAAAGGCTGAAAGAGATAGGGATTCTCTTTCGCAAAGACCCATGCCCAGTTCTTGTGCTCGTCCCATTGTGGGTCATATTTCTATTAAGTAAATAGTGGCAAAAATGGGTCATAGACTCTTAGATTTGAGAAGCCGTGGCCCTCGGGATTATGCTTCATTCTTTTATTGTAAAAATGAAAAGAAGAAGAAGAAGAAGAAGAAGAAGAAGAAGAAGAAGAAGAAGAAGAAGAAGAAGAAGAAAAAAGAGGCCCAGATAGGTGGAATTAGTCCCCTGCGCAGGTCACAGGGCTGGTTATTTAGTTTAAGGACTGACATTTCACTTCAAGACCCATAGGGTGCTGTGAAACAGGTCTTTGCCCAAGTAGGATTCTCTACATTGTCTCTGGAGTGTCCTGGGAGAGAGTACCTTCAAAGGGCTAGTGTGTCACTGGGCTTATGGGGTTTGTTCAGCCTTGTAGTGATATTTATCATCCGCTTGTATCTTAGGTTTCCAAATCTGTTGGATAGCTGCCTGGGCCATAATAAGCTTTCAGCTGTTGAGTCTACATTATCTCAAATCATTCTGTTATCATTCAATTAGGATGATAATTAGGATGATAGAACTTTGCCTCTTTCCCTACATTCTGCTGTTCATGTGTTCCTTACATTAATATTCACTGTGTATAGGATGTATTTTATTTATTTATTTCATGTTTCTCTAATTCCATTTTATGATTGAATTGGTTCTGATCTTTCACATGGAGGAATCCTGTTGATTGGCCTTGGATTTGTTTATTTGTTTCTTTTGGTATCACTTTTCCTCTTGTGGAAGGTCACAGTTGTTATAATGGATGGTGTTAATTGGAGAAGGGGCTGCTGGTTTTAAGAAAAAAAAAAAATCACCATGCAGCTCTTGGTGATGTCTATCCTGTTCTGTGAAGACACCACCATTCCTTGGGTCATGCATCATCTGGGAGATGGTGGATGACCCATTTTTTGTAGGCTCTGGGGGGTGGAAAGCTTAAGCACCAGGTTGAAATACTGAGAAGGAATGGAAAGGTCTAGCCTTCTCATGTTGTTCTTTTCTTTTGCAAATCAGAAAAAAGCAAGAGTTGATTTCTATCACTAACAGTTTGGTGATTGTGTAACTCAGAGCTAAACTCTACTAAAATACCCAGCCAAATAAATTAGCCCACCTTGGCACTGGCCCTCACCTTTTCAGTCTTCCTCTTTTTACCAAAAGGATGTTAATACGGATTGTGTTGAGTTTAAGATGAGTGTGTTTCTTGAGTGTGCACCTTACGATATGTATAAAGGAGGAGGAAAAAGTGCTATCATTGTTGGGAGGATTACAACATAAATATTTTGGTCAACACTTCCTATGGGGCTCTGACTTCTCATTTCACCTCCATTTTCCTTTTTTTTTGTCCCCCCCTCCTTCTCTCCCCCCCTCCCCCTCTTCCCCCTCCCCCCCCCCCCCAGTCTCCTTCCCATCTCTTTTCATGAGTAAAGCTCACAGCAAGACTATAAGTATCATTCATTGCATTTTGGTACTTATTTAAATTTTTTCAAATGATGCTGTTGTTAGATAAACGGTTTGTGTTTCTTTCAAGCTTACTGATATGCTCACTGGGATTCCTTTGGTTTGGTATTATGTAGGCAGGTGATGCAGAGATGCTAGAGAAAGGTAAATAACATGCTCAAATTTGGTACTAATTGAAGGTGGTCTCAAAGGAAGCCTCATGTTCTAGTGACACTTGGTGATGCATTGTCTCCCTATTTGGAGTTAGATTATCATAGAATTCCTGCAAAGAAAGCATACAAACAAAAAATAAAATCCTGAGTATTTTTTTTAATATTTGAAAATTATTCTTTTAAAAACTGCCTGACAATTCCAAATTACCTCCAGTTACAAAGTTTTTCAGAAGAATGTGAAATGAAGTGCTCAAAATACTTTGACTGGAACTTTCTCATCTCTCATTTATAGTTTTTATTTATTGTTTGCATTTCTTTGTTTGTTGTATAAAATTAGCCCTAAAGCTGGGTGTGGTATGGTGGCACATGCTTATAATCCTAGCTGCTGGGAGGTGGCTGGGCTAAGGCAGGAGGATTTAAAGTTTCAGGACAACCTGGGCTGACACTGTCGCAGCATAAAGAAAAAGGCTAGCTGGGCGTGGTGGCGCACCCCTTTAGTCCCAGCACTTGGGAGGCAGAGGCTGGCAGATCTTTGTGAATTCCAGGCCAGCTGGGGCTACAGGAGACCCTGTCTCAAAAAGACCAAAAAAAAAAAAAAAAAAAAAACGGTGACGGGGCTGGGGTAGAGCTCCATGCGTATATGAGGCACTGTGTTCAATACCCAGTACCACCAAAAAGAGAGAGAAAGAAAGAGGTCTAAAATAACAGTCTCCAAATATGTGTGGTATTTAAAGGAATAGTTTTTGTTTGTCTGGTTTTGGTGTTTTGAGACAAGGTCTTACTCTGCAGTCCAGTCTGGCCTTGACTTTGTGCTAGTCTTCTTGCCTCAGCCTCCCAAGTTGCTGGGGTTTCAGCCTGAGACAGCATGCCCAGCTCCTGGGTTGTTTCTTTCTTTCTTTTTTAAATATGAGCTTTGTGAATAAAACGTTCTAAAACCAGACATAGCTTCTTCCTCTGTAGTGTGAACTCAACAGTTTTACGCATATTTCTGGGAATAAGAAGGTCAAATTTAAGAGTCTAGTTTCCACCAATTAAACAGTTTTTCATACATTTAAATTTTAAGTATCACGGTAAAAAATGTTTTTTTAAAAATTGTATTCACTCATAGTAGCCTTGTCTGAAATAAAGTATTGACAGTGGATTTTTTTTTTTTTTTTGGTCTTTTTTGGTCTATTTGAAACAGGGTCTCCCTGTAGCCCCAGCTGACCTGGAATTCACTATGTAGACCAGGCTGGTCTCGAACTCACAGAGATCCGCCTGCCTCTGCCTCCCAAGTGCTGGGAGACAGTGGATATTTTAAGGGTATTATAAAGGATGACCCATTACTGCTAAAAAAACCCAAAACATTTTGAAGATTGGTGTCTCAAAATCTACACCGTTTTTCCTCATCAAAAGGAGTAATATGTAGATGTCAGACTTTTGTTTGATTGAATGAGACCCTCACTTTTGGTGGTTTGAGTATTTTAGATGACGTTTTATTACTTTTGTTAGTTTTGGTCACACCCATGACTTCCTTGGAAGGTATCTTTGAGGTTTGGTTTCCTTTTTTTAAATGGTAATATTGGGGTGGGGGGTGCTTCCTGTTTATATTTTGAAAAATAGGTCCACATGTTAACCTTCTTGTCAAGTCACATTTTTACTTTAAATGTACAAATCCAAGCATCAGCTAACATGTGGTTTGTCTTTGACCCATTGTCCTGGCTTCAGAAACTTTCAGCAAGCTCAGCCCAAGACCACTTGGGAACATGAGGCGTTCTTGAATCTTTTTCCATCTCTCATCAAGGTGTAGTAGTTTTGGAAAGAGTCTTGAAGCAGTCATAACAACAGAGGCACAATTAACAGAAAAACAGGGCTGTTGCTAGCTGTTTCCTCTCAGGTACCTGGAAAACACAGCGCAAGTTTAGAGCTGCACATGTTCTATAGTCTTGAAGGTTGGCACTCTGAAGGGGTGTTGCCACAGTGTAGATACTGTAGGACCCCCCCCCTGCAGTGATGGGAGCAGGTGTCCTGCCCTTATCCAAAAGTCATACACAGTGTCATGGAAAAGGTAAATAAGAAGTGGAGGGCATTCAGGTCTAGAAGTAGTTAGGGTTCTGGAGGAACCACCCTCAGTCTTAAAACTTCCTTCATCCTCTTAGTAGTTCTGCCTCCCCCTTCTCCTCCTTTTTCCCTTAGGGTGTCATGTAGCCCAGTCTGGCCTTTAATTCAGTAGGCAGCCAAGGATGCCTGTGAACTTCGGATCCCCCTGCCTTCACCTCCAGAGTGTGAGGATCAGGGATTACAAGCATATACCACCATACCTGGCTTTATGCATTGCTGGGGATACAAACCAGGGCTTCTTGTTTGCTAAGTAAGCACTCTACCAATTAAACTACATTCCAAGACCCTTAAAGTTTTTAAATGACAAGTTACTTTTAATCTAAATGTTAGAGAATGAGTTATGTGGAGCCTTGGGGAGAAGGATACGT